TAAAACACCCTGCTGTCCCAGCTGAGATAAAAAGACAAATTATAAATACAATCTTTATACCGACATTAGGTTATCAATGTCAGACTTGGACATTAACAAAAGAACACGAGAGAAGACTAACCACCTGTGAAATGAGATGTTTGAGAATGGCTGCGAATAAAACCAGAAGAGATCGAGTGAGAAACGATGTGATCACAAGAACTATTGGAACCATACCCATCGTTAAATTTTTTGAGAAGCAAAGAATGAAATGGTTTGGTCACCTAATGAGAATGGAACCAACGATGCCAGCATCAAGAGCATACAACATGAAAATCGAAACAACAAGAGGCAGGGGAAGACCAAGAAGAAGATGGATTGAAGGAGTCACGGACAACTTGAGACTTCATAACATCACGGCATATGAAGCGACTGAGCGCGCCCTGGCTCGGTTGCCGATCATCTGATAGACTGCGACGCCTAGCGGCACAAGCAGATTTTGACAAAAGAAGAAGACTTAATTACAACAGTTAGTATGTTACATAATTTGGCTTATCACCCCTGCAGGTGATTTAGATGCTAGCTCTATTATCGACTTATTTAACAATTATCACATCAGTTTTCTCTATTTCCTGGAGAATATCCAAGTACTCGTTTTAATGATCTAGCGGGTTTGACGAACTCCTTGTGGTCCGGGTTTACTCCCGGGGGTAGGCAGAAAAGCACATTTCTCCCAGATTTACGGTATTTACAATGGAATCAAGGCCGAAAGGTTGCGATATCCATAATACCGAGCCTAAGGGTTAACAAGTCATGGCTTCTGGATACTAAAACAAACAAACAACAAACAAATTTAGCGGGTCAAATCAACCGGAAACAAACTAAGTTATTATTCGAAATGTATTCAAACTTAAGACTATGAGGAATGACAGAGCCTCCTAGGTACACTAAGCATAAGGTTAGTTGAGTATCCTTTACAGGACGTTACAGAACCAACCCCAACAGCCCTTGTGCTGTTGTGTGGTTTTTCTAGGCAAATTTACGCCTAGTAGTTTGCCATTGCTCTCCGGACGGTCGGCTTTCTTGATACCAATGTCGAAACCAACGAAGGCTCATGGCCCGCAGCTGGGATCGAACCCGGCATCCCGGCATTACGAAACATAGAATGGGTAATAGGTGAATTCTTGAGAAGTAAAGGCGGCCGGTGTGATATCGAACACATCACCCAGCGAGTGTCCATTGGTCTATGAAATATGGGTCTAGCTTAAATGCCCAATGCGCATGAAGACGTGAAATGGGTCCTTTATTTGGATTTTTCTGGGGATTATTAGTAGAAAGTAGATGCGTGGTGTCTTTTTTTTTCAACGACTAGTTACGGGTGAGAGCTTGCGGTAAATTAGGACCAGTTTACCAAAGCTCTGTAATGTTCCCAGTGGTCACTCCTGACGTAGTCACATTAGTAATAAGAATCTCTGGAATAGTACCCACGTACAGCGCTTCTTAACCTTCACACGCCTTGCATAATTTCACATACATACGCATTTGGTATTTACTATCCGAGTGTGACCTACTGTGGATTTTTATAACACACAACATTGTCTGCGTATGACAGCATCCTGTTCATTTACTGCCCTTGAAGGAAAAGTCACGCATGACGATTGAACATTCAGTGGATTCCAAGGTTATCAGGCATTTCCCGCTTTTCAATAAAATGTAGTTAACGCAGATACTTAATGTGATTATTTGATTCTTGGTCAAAGAAATAATCTTGAGTCCCTACACGTGCTCCCTGCCCTCACATCTGTTCTTTAGAACTGCCCTCACATCTGTGCTTTAGGTTTGCCCTCACATCTGTTTTTTAGTCCTGCTCTCAAATGTGTTTTAGGTTAACCCTCACATCTGTGCTACAAGCCTGCCGGGATAGGCGCTGAAACCCAAAAAAATGTTTGCGAAAGTCATCACCCCTCCCCCTTTTCACCGTCCCCCCATCGAAAAGGAAGCACTGGAATCAAAACTAGAACCCGCCATAATGTTAATAGACTTACAGCAGTGAATAACGGTCCTTCCTAATGCTACCCACCACAGACATAGACGTTCTCTTTTTATAATCATTTGTGTATTCAATTCATACTAGTTCAAATATGTGTTTTTTTCCCCCCTCTGGGGAAAGGGAAAAGATAGCGGGGCGGGGGTGTCCTTAAAGGAGGTTCGCCTTTCTTAGTTCTCAAAAATTTTAGAACTATTATTATTGTTAGAATGCAAGACAGCCTGGCATACGATATTACAACATCTAGCATGAGAATGGAGAAGGAGGCGGTAATTGCAGCTCTCCGGTGGCTAGAGAACAAGATGCATACACATGTTGTAATTGTAACTGACTGAAAGCATGCTGAGAAAGATGAAGACGGAAATGCTTCCAGCAGAGTGGCAAGCTTCACTAGGAAGATCACCGGTAGTGATGGTTGGTTGGTTGGTTGTAAAGAAAACAAAAATGACAAGCTTAGTCCTTTTTTAGCCACCTGACGGCCTGCTTTTTCAAGGACGGGTTCTTTGCTGTCTGAGTTTTAGTTCGTTTCTTTGTGGCGTTGATTTTCACCTGAGTTTTGATTTATTCGCATTATCATGTCAGCGGCATAGGCTTGGCAGGGGGTTTCCAGCTTTTGGGATTGGAAATGGCAGTCCTGAAAAGGACAGCCACGTGTGCCTGGGGCGGCATGGAACGGGATGGGTGGGGTTTTTCTGTGGGTCTGGCTTCTGCTGTCCGGTCTGGTGGTGTCCGTGGGTACTCAATTTTAACGGGCTGGCTTTTCCTGAAAGATGGCGGCTCGGGTTTTGGGCTTTTGCTACGTTAGTAGCGTCGTTGTCGTCGTCCTCCTCGGTTGTTTCTCCTGGCGGGAGTGGGTTTCTGTGGTGTGTTCCATGGTACGTACCCCTCTAGTTCACAGGTGGCATTCTGGTCGGCTAGGAATTGTTCTTTATCGAAGTAGAATGGAGCGGTTTCATTTGGCGGGTCACTGCTAGCAGTCGGATACTCCTGCTCTCCTGGCGTATCTTCTTCATCGGATATGATTTCTCCATTTGACTGTTCTGTGTCTCTGTTGACTGAGTTCTCTTCTGAGTCTTCTTGGTTGGTTTCATCATTTTCTGGTTCAGTCATTTGTGCCTGATGCTTCATTGTTGCTTTGTCAGTGGAGACGCCTTTGGCAGCCCTGTTGGTAATTGGCTTCTTAGTAGCATTCCTTTCTTTCTACAGTAGAGCTCGTTCTGTCTTGGTTGCTTGTGCTGCTGTTACGGCTTCTACAGTGGCTTTCTCTAGCTGAGCCACTTCGCGGCATGTGGCTTCTCGTGCAGTTATTAGCTCTGCCAGCTCCTTCCTTCTCTCCTCTCTTTCTGACTGGCGGCGTAGTTCCTCTTCTGCCTGAGTAGCTCTCTGGTCTTTAGTAAGTTTTCTGCGTCTGGAAAAAAATGCTGTCAGTGGCAATATATACCGATAGCTAGATCCCTGAAGGGTCAGCAAGACTTTTTGAGTATCCTGAAAAAGACACCAAGTGTGCCTTCCCAACAGTTCACTAGACAATCGTTTTTCAAATAGTGCGTAAAACGGACTGCTAAACCTCACCCGCAACGCCGAATGTACGATAACTAGTCAAGACTGACTCAGCCAAATATCAAGCGAATCGGTGTCAAGTATCTAGTTATCGAGAATCGGGCCACGAATGAGGAGTTAGCGATCGAGCGGAAGACGAGAGGTAGCGTCGACTGGGCTGTCTGCGGTAGTGAGCATACTTTGGATCTTTTATTAAGGCTATGCCGGCTTGGTGGGTAATGAACAGGAAACAGATTGGCTGGATCTGCACCACTGGGTGGTGAACTGATTTATGACTTGGCAGATGTGGCCAAATCCCTTTGGGAAAAAGCAACGGAATTAGTAAAGAAACAATAAAATAATTACGTGAAGAGAATGAGGCACCTGGGTGTAACCAGAGGGTCGGGCCTGCTTACTACACTCAGAGGAAAGGCAACCAGATTGTGACCAGTACCATCAGTATTGGAACTCTGCGCTGGCTGCCGAAAATGAGGACGGAGCACGCACAGGAATGCGAGTTCTGTGATGTCAATTCTTGACTTAACTCAACTCAACTCAAAAATACTACCAGTAACAATAAAGTTTATTGCTTTTTTTTTAAATTTATAACACTGTTAAACAAAACGAAAACTCCTTCCTGCCTGAATAAAAAAAAAAAAAAAAAAAAATTGGAGGGCATGAGGCCGGTTTATCATATAAATATAGTTTAATTTCCACTAGTTCAGGTAATAAAAGAAAATTGCTTTGAGATAAGAACAACTATACTATTAAAGTAATGTAATGAAAAATTTTAATAATAATAATAATAAAACTACCTATTTTCTCATCAGCAGGAGACAGTGGGAGCACAGATTAGTTTTCGTTAATTATGTGCGACAGGCAGAGCATACAAAAGTTAGGACAGACCGAGTTTTACTCCAAAATATGCGGGGTTATCCTCTTTCGGAAGGATGTTGCCTTCTAGGTACAGATAAACTTGTTCTGGCTTTGAGAAGAGAGTTGAGACGGGTTTGATTTGGTTTATTGTGACTCCCCAAGAGTCAGTCTATTTCCTAACTGTATTTACAGCTTCCTGCATTCTTGTTTTAGTTGTTCCTATATGTTTAGCTTGGGTCCATATGGCCAGGTCATCTGCATGTAGGACTCTGTAAATGTGAGCAGTGAACTGTTTTTGGAGGTTAATAATAAAGAGAATAAACAGGGTAGGAGTTATAACACCTCCCTGGGGGATACATTATTGCAACTTGATCAGCTTGCTCTTGAGGTCTTCCAGTCCGACTCTCGCACAGCGTCTGTAAAGAAAGTCTCTAATCCAGGCAAAAATATGCCCTTTTATCCCTCGGTGTGTAATGTTTTAGCAAAAGTCCTTTCCTCCAGACCTTATCAAAGGCTTTGGTCAGGTCGAAGAAAGTAGCTAGTAGGCAAATTTGATTAGTCACATTCGACCAAATAAAATCAAAAGCTCACGCCTATATCTACTACTGGCGTAAACATACACAACAATATTGACTGTAGATTTGACCAAACTACACAGATAAACCAGCACAAAGAGAAATTCGTACACATTGTGCTGCTGTTTTCCTACATTAACTTCTGGAAACAACAGTCGAACAAAAATATTCACAATCGCCGGAAAATTGCAAGTAAAAAATAGTATTGTCAGTGAAACTACCACCTTTGTGAGTTTGACGTCTTTACTAGTCATCGTTTTTCTTTTACTGAGTCGGTGTGATCCTGCAACTTTGGACAATGATTTACTCTGGGGATTGTATGTGTCTCCTAAACTCCCATAATTGGAAGATCTCTTTCTTAACTGGGATGACTTGTTGATGCCGTGAATCATGAACCCGCTGCTTATGGTGATTAGCACTTGTGCTACCATTGGAATCATCATACCATTAAATGTATCCACAAATACGTCAATTTCATGTCTGTTGGCAGACAGCCATAGAACTAGCCGAGTTCTGTTGTCTGCTGGATTAAAAACCCATTGTGTTGCTTGTGTTGCCCAGGCTGGGCAGATGGCAGCCACTCCAAACATAACAATAGTCAAGTTTACCAGGATAACTCGACGCGTAGTCAAAATTTCTTTGACTTTCAAAGGAAACACAATACAAACACACCTCTCTAGTGAGAGAAACCCGGTGACAATTGTTGACAGAATGTTCGTCAATGCTGTAATATGTGCAATATAAACAAATCTAATTGGGAGAGTGTTGAAATATGGTAATGGAAAATACGCATCGACTAAATAAAAGACAGCAATGATTTCACATGAAAGACATAAAGATAGATCCCAAACAGACAGGGCCATAAAAGTGATATTCACACTGTCTCGGAACCCTAGCTTGTGGTACACAATGATGTTAACAATATTTGCTATAATTCCAACTGTAGCAACTAGAATAGTCAGTACGACGGAAAAAGCTGTTCTCAAATAAAACATAACACCATCTGGAATAATCTTCACTGTTGACTCTAATCTTGAACCTCTCACATAAGAATATGTAGTATACTCCATTTTATCTCCAGGGACTAAAATGTGTTTTCCTTGTGTCTAGTTTCGTTCTTTATTGGCCAACTAAAAAAAAAAAGGGGGGGGGGGAGGGGGAAGAGAACAAAGCATATTTTGTAAATAGCTTAAATACTGCATGTAACTAAATCTGTTTGGCATTCTGAATGATCTTAATATAGAGGAGAATGAGCTCATAAACAGCATCCTGTCCCGAAAGTTGAGCTGTTTTGACCATGTTGAGTGTCGAGGTGACCTAGAAAGAACGGAGGTGGAGGGTTAAGTTTCTGGAAAACAAGCGAGAGGTGGACCTCCTCGAATGTGTATACGCAACTTTGAAGATGCTTTAGCTATGACAGCAGGTAGGTCTGGAGAACTGGCTAGAGAAAGAGAGACTTTCAGACGGGACGTGACAAGAGCGACCTTTTCGTAAAGGACTTGCAGATTGGTGATGATTATGAACAAACAGTTTAGAAAGATTATGTGCAGTCATTAATGTCTCCACTTTTTAGAAAGGCGTATAAAATAAGGTTCTTGGATTTCTGAAGTTAGAACCGCATGGTTGGTGCAGTCGCCACAAACTGTGCAGGTTAGATTGACAGTATGCTGCCGTTCAAAACGCCGTTTCTTCGAAGCTGTTGCTATGTGTCAAACATTGCTACCTTTTGATTTCAACATCTTAGCACATCGACCCAGTCAGTTTGTATTGCCCACTCCGATGCTGCAGCCATATCTGTATTGCAAGCTCACCGTAGCCATTAGGGCTGATAGGCATTCTTTGTCCACATCCGACTTCTTGCCGTGTGTCCACGTCTTATACCGATTTCGTACAGTTGGTTCATCGTCTCTGACTCCTTTGTCTCAATAGTTCTGGAACGTAGGGCATTCATAATGTCTACCCTGTTCCTAAAGTTTCCTCCACTCACCATTGCATGCATTGCTAGTCTGTGGACTCGCTCATTTCCATTGATTTTGGCTTGTCATGATGTGTGTAGTCAAGATACTTTATTGAGGCGGGACCTCTGGGTGCTGTCAACTCGCTCTGGTCAGTATTTGCCGGCTTGGAGGATAAGTAACCTGGTTCAAACTGAAAGACACCTGTATATCCAAGGATACGACGCGCCCATATTCTTCGTCCTCACATCTAAAAACTTCTGGCTGCACGAAGGCTATTATTTTTTTGCAGAATAACGCTAGACCTCCTACGGCACAGCTCAAAATCAAGTCCTCGTTGACAAGAACATGCAGACTATTCCTTGGCCTGCCATATAATCAGACATGAACTGCATAGAACACTTACAGGTTGAATTGGACAGTAACTGGCCAACAGGTCTTTGCAGAATCAGAAGTTCAACAAATGATTCATGACAATTCTTCTCAGGTGATGTGATTATCCATACAGAATGCTCCGTGTTGAGGACCAGACAATGTAAATGGTGGTTCCTGGCGAAGGCGCATGGACCATGCTTAGTGCAACACAGCCTGGTATATGATACCAACATCGTATAGTTCGAGAATAGAGGTGGAGGCAGGCATTGCAGCCTCTCGCTGGCTTGGCTATCGTCTGTAAAAACATTTCGTATTAGTAACCGACTCACAGAGCATGTTGGGAAAGGCGAGAACCGATATGCTCCGTGAAGAGTGGCAAGCATAGCTGCAGAGGTCAAGGGTAGTAGGCGTGATTTTAATATTATCTCCAGGTTCTGTCGTTGTATTAGGAAATAAACATGCAGATAGATTAGCTGGTTCTGTACCATCTGGCGGTGAACTGATGCATGACAAGCAACATGCTCTAAGTGCTCTCTGGGGCGAGTGAACAGTGCGGAAGCACAGATGTATCATCATGGTCTGAGGAGACGAGGCTGCGAGAGTTTCGAGGGAATATGGCCGAAATGTATAGAAAGCATATTTAATGAGGATGGTAGATTCAACAGAGAGATAGAAGCCAGAGTACAGAAGGCAAATACTGTCACCTACCAGTTAGCCTCACTGCTTAGACACCCAAATGTCTCCATTTTAGCAAAAACAGCAAATGAATATAAGCATCTTTATCCTTACTTATGTTATAAGTGCCAAACATAGACAATGAATAGAGCACTAGAAAATAAAATAAATGTGAAATGCGCTGTCTCTGGAAGGTCACTAACAATAAGAAGAAACAGGGTTACGAAAACCAGCATTAGAGAGAAAGTTGGAATAAGATCTTGTTTAGATTATACTGAAGGACAAAGAATGAAATGGTTCAGCCCGATAGAATGCAGCTAAACCAAACTGCTTATGAGACATTTTACAGCAAAACATCTCAATGGAATGCAAGAGGAAACCCAAAAAAAGAGATGGATAAATGGTGTAGCCGAAACATGGTGAAAGATAAACAAATCTATCACGTAAGCCACCCAAGAAGCGCAAAACAAATACAGAAAACAACAACACTGGGCTGCAACCTGGTAACAGTGAGACGACAAAACCACGACACTGGGCTGCAACCTGGTAACAGTGAGACGACAAAACCACGACACTGGGCTGCAACCTGGTAACAGTGAGACGACAAAACCACGACAATGGGCTAAAATCTGGTAACAGTGAGACGACAAAACCACGACACTGGGCTGCAACCTGGTAACAGTGAGACGACAAAACCACGACACTGGGCTAAAATCTGGTAACAGTGAGACGACAAAACCACGACACTGGGCTGCAACCTGGTAACAGTGAGACGACAAAACCACGACACTGGGCTAAAATCTGGTAACAGTGAGACGACAAAACCACGACACTGGGCTGCAACCTGGTAACAGTGAGACGACAAAACCACGACAATGGGCTAAAATCTGGTATGAGTGAGACGACAAAACCACGACAATGGGCTAAAATCTGGTATCAGTGAGACGACAAAACCACGACAATGGGCTAAAATCTGGTATCAGTGAGACGACCAAACCACGACAATGGGCTAAAATCTGGTAACAGTGAGACGACAAAACCACGACAATGGGCTAAAATCTGGTATCAGTGAGACGACAAAACCACGACACTGGGCTAAAATCTGGTAACAGTGAGACGACAAAACCACGACAATGGGCTAAAATCTGGTATCAGTGAGACGACAAAAAGAAGAAGAAGAATAAGAATCATAATAAAATTATTTGTAACAGATGATGCCGTCTCCACAATGGAGTTTGGATGCATTGTATTTATTGCTAACTATGCTCCCATTACGTAGTGAGGTCCAATGTCTTCCTCGGTGCGACTCTCGGACCACTGTCGGAGCATCAGTAGAACGGCCTTTTTCCAGACTACCCAATGCAGGAATCGAACCCTAGTAAACAATGAGGATTGCATTGTGCTAACCTTTAAGCCACAGAGCAGAATATAAATATAAACTGTACTTAATTTTTTTTTTTAAACTGACAAGTAGAAGTCTGATAACAATTAAAAGGGCAATATTTTTATGCCAAAGAACGTCATTTCGATATAACAATTTACCAACATATTTAACCCAAGTGGCGGATTGGAAAAAACATTATAACCAGGAAGGAGTAGCAGGGGTTGACCCACACGAAGATGGGCACAGGATATACGTGACTACTTGAATATGAAAGTTCCCGAGGCTGGAAAGCTGGTGAGAGACCGAGTTTCTTTCAGGCAGACCATAACACGAAGAACAAAGCTATGAGGATTTAACCTAAGTTGTGTAACAAAATAGATTTTATTTAGTGAGGGTAAGTTCGTGCGAGGCAGAATACTTCCAACCGTGTCTTTGTCTTCTTAATTAAATAGTTGAAACGTGACCTGATACTAAACTTTAAATTAGTTTAAAAATAAATAATTTCCGAATCTAAACCAAAGACAAATATTAAAGATTAGAACTGATTCCGAGTTTTAATTACAAACTGCAAAGACTTTTAACAAACGGGCTCGACTCTTTGAATACTTGGTTCATTATTCCGGTGAAAAACAAATTCATATTAGCTAGAATCACGAGATGTCTATTTTACTTACATAATGACAGTAAGCAATGCCAATTAAATCAAAACGATCCATCTTTACAGTAATACAGTGTGCAAATATTGAATAGGATCTAACGAGTATATGTTCTCAATCAATATTATGTCAGCCTACACTAATAAGGAAACATTCATGTTTCTGATACAAAGTTCCTGCATGCGCACTAAAGTTAGTGAACTTTTCTTTGTACATTATTTAATAGCAAACATGGAATATCACGACGTTAACTACTGCAGTTTCTGCTGTTGCTGTTGCTGGTGCTACAACAACTACTACTACTGTCTCTTCTTTGTACAGTTATTTAATAGTAAACATGGAAAATCACGTCGTTAACTACTGCAGTTTCTCCTGTTGCTGTTGCTGTTGCTACAACAACTACTACTACTGTCTCTTCTTTGTACAGTTATTTAATAGCAAACATGGAATATCATGTCGTTAACTACTGCAGTTTCTCCTGTTGCTGTTGCTGTTGCTACAACAACTACTACTACTGTCTCTTCTTTGTACAGTTATTTAATAGTAAACATGGAATATCACGTCGTTAACTACTGCAGTTTCTCTTGTTGCTGTTGCTGTTGCTACAACAACTACTACTACTGTCTCTTCTTTGTACAGTTATTTAATAGCAAACATGGAATATCACGTCGTTAACTACTGCAGTTTCTGCTGTTGCTGTTGCTGTTGCTACAACAACTACTACTACTGCTGGCACCACTCCTACAAGCACCACCCAATGTTTCTTTTCTGGTCGTATGTAAGCATATCATTTTAATTTCAGCGTCTGTGACAGACACTTTGTAGTATGTACTGTCACCTGTTTTAGACAAATCCTGGTCAGTACCGTCACCTTTTTATAGACACTTTGTAGTTAGTACCGTCACCAGTTTTAGACACTTTGTAGTTAGTACCGTTACACTGTTTTAGACACTTTGTAGTTAGTACCGTCACCAGTTTTAGACACGTTGTAGTTAGTACCGTCACACTGTTTTAGACACTTTGTAGTTAAAACTTTAGATCGCGAGTGCAGAGACTGGCAGCTGGTGCTGCAGAATCTGAAGTTCATCAAATGATTCTTGGCTGTTCACGCCCAATTGATGTGATAATCTATACAGAAGGCTCTGTGTTAAGGGGCAGACGAAGTGCACGGGATTTCATAGCAAGGGCGAGTGGACGTCGCCTGGTGCAGCAAAGCCTTGCATTTGATATCACACCTAGTTTGAGAATGGAGGTGGAGGCAGTCTCTGCTGCCTTCTGCTGGATTGAGAACACACATGCCGTGATTGTAACTGACTCACAGAGCATGTAAAGAAAGGTGAAAACAGGCATGCTTCGTGCAGAGTGACAAGCATCGCTTCAGAGGTCACAGGCAGGCAGATAGACTGGCTGTCTCTGCTCCACTTGGTGGTGAACTGATGTATGACAAGTTAGATATTGTGACGGCCCTTTGAGGGCGGGTGAACAGTACGGAGGCGCAGATAGATCATTACGGTCTAAGGAGTTACCAGAGGATCTGGTCGATGCTCAACACTCAGGGAAAGGATGAGACGGATATACAATCAGACGGGTACTGGTATCATTGGAATTGGAAATCTTCGCTGGCTGCTGAAGATCGAGACTGAGCAATTATTGTGGTGTCCCTTGTGCTGTGATGTCGATTCCTAATTCAACATTCAACATTACAGTTAAAATACCGTCACAATCAGACGGGTACTGGTATCATTGGAATTGGAAATCTTCGCTGGCTGCTGAAGATCGAGACTGAGCAATTATTGTGGTGTCCCTTGTGCTGTGATGTCGATTCCTAATTCAACATTCAACATTACAGTTAAAATACCGTCACCTGTTTTAGATACCTTGCAGTTAGTATCGTCACCCTGTTTCAGACACTTTGTGGTCAGTACCGTCACCGGTTTTAGATACTTTGCAATTATTACCGTAACCTGTTTTGAACACTTTGTAGTTAGTACTGTCACCCTATTTTAGACACTTTGTGGTCAGTACCGTCACCGGTTTTAGACACTTTGCAATTCTTACCGTCACCTGTTTTGAACACTTTGTAGTTAGTATTGTCACCCTGTTTTAGACCCTTTGTGGTCAGTACCGTCACCGGTTTTAGACATTTTGTGGTCAGTACCGTCACCTGTTTTAGACACCTTATAGTGAGTGCGTTTTCGGAACCTTGTAGTCAGTACATTCACCCGTTTTGAACACCTTGTAAGGAGTACAGTTCTCCGTTTTAGACACCTGATAGTCAGTACCGTCACCTGAAGCTGAACGCGGAGTTACATATTTTTGAAAATCGCCACTACTTCTGGAACGGATTATAGCAAAGAAGGGGAGATATACCAGCTGTCACATAGGTTTCTATTCATATGAAAAATAAACGTACTCCTCTATTTGTTGCTTGTAATAGGAGGTCACTTCATGGGACCATGCTGACCTATCCGTGCTTCTAGACATTGTTAATCTAACCACTGAGGTAGGTTTATTTTTCTAATGTATGGAAACATAACCCGAGAGTGTTGACTTTACTAGGAGTAATGACTTTACAGTTCTGACTTCCTCACCACACGAACAATCCAGTCATGAAAGAAATATTGCCCTTCCATTTGCATTGCCTAAACTAAGAGATTTATAAGTGCACACTTTTCAATCATTGCTCACAGAATACTAGGAATACAAAACCAGATCGGTGGGTGGGAGGTGGGGGTGGGGTGGGGGGGGGGGGATTACTGAGTGGATTCAGTGTTAGATGTGAAAAGAAGTGTGCAAGAGTAAAGGACAGAATCGAGGGTGCCGTAGACTAATTACTGGAATCTTTCCAAGATGTGTCACTTTGAAAAAAATACCTCTTCAACATTCCTTTTTATTCGGTTACATGTGCATGCAGACTCTCACGCAGTTCATCATCATCATGTAACAGGTTTTTTGCAGAACGTCGCTCTAATCACAGTCTGTCTGAAAGAAACTCGGTCTCTCGTCAGTTCTCCCGCCTCATGTACTTTCATACTCAAGGAGTCATTTATATTTTGTTGGTCGGCCCCTGCCCCTCCTTCCTGGCACCATGCCTTCTGCTTTAATTTTTTCCTAGAAATTCCTAGTATATCTATTTTATTCCTTTCTAGTTCTTCGCCAACGGTGCTAAGTTTTCTCTGATACATGCTCCTAACATTCCATGTTCCTAACTTTAAAGTGCAGTCACGCGCGCAGTTTCTGTTCGAAAATGTGTTTTTCAATGGACACCCAATTACGCATGTCCACAGTTGAGGAGACCGGTTCGACTGGCATTTTGCATTTACACTGGTCAATAAAAATATGCGTCAAGCATCATTTACTCGACGCGCTAAGTTTTCACACATTCAGTTTATTGAAAACCTGACCGCATTATCAAATGACTGACAGAAAAACACGTCAGTTGAAGTTGTCCATTTTAAGAATCAATTGATCAGCATTTATGTCCCGAAAACATCGCTATTTAAAAAGATGGATTCATGAAGCTCAGGTCAAGATCATAATCTGCATACACAACACAAAAGATGGGGTGAAACAATAAAGGGGCATAAAGCATAGTCAGGAAAATGACTGCTGCTTCCAGAGCACTCGCAAAGGTAGCAGAACAAGCGGCCACACATGTGATAATCATTTCAAACTCTATGAACATGCTTCACAAAATCACAACAGGTAGTCTAGGCTCCGAATGGGTAGAAAAAAAAGTTAGGAATTCTCAGTTAACCTCCATCATCTGGTTCTACATACCTGGGCCCGTAGGAGTAAATTTTAATGAAAGAGCTAACAGCTGGCAATGCACAAATGCAAATGAGAAGAAGCATTTACACAGTTAATATCATTAATGCTGCGCGAACTAGGCTGCGGAGTAATGTTAAATCTCTGACGCTAACATGGTTGGGTAACGTAGCAGTTAAACTTGGTGAAGCAAGTCTGTGCCGTCTTCAAGGTCAAGACAGGAGATACTTTAACCAACTTCTCATGGGAACAATCAGTAGAGGAACTTTGGAATTGCTGCTACATCGGAGGACAGAGCACGAGTGTGAAAACTTAATGTGCAATGACGTCTATTGTGATTACATAACCTCACTCAGATCTCTGAGTCAATGCAAATTATGGTCTCGCGTGAAACCAAACCTGTTAAATAGAATCTTAAACTCGTGTCTATATCGGCTGCTGGCGTTATAATAGACAAGGATATTCGCTGTACAGTTGATAACTCCAAACTCAAGCACCAAACTATACAACAGTGCGTGTAATTTATTTTGCCGTCCGTACACACGTATTTCTGGTATCAAAGTTCTCAAAAAAGAGCTGACAAAAACAGGCAAGTTACAAACAAAAAACAGCATGGCCAACAATACAACGATTTTTGTAAGTTTCAGGTCCTTGCTTGACATTATCGTTGTTCTTTTAATTATATTTGCTTTGATTTCTGCTGGACAGACGTCTTTCCTGCAATTTAGGCTTTTTTGTGAAGTCTCTTTCTTTGCGTTTCTTTGTCTGAACATGGTTGAGTCCCTGATTCCTTGAAGCATAAAACCCGTACATACTAGGATCATGATCTCCGCTAACACAGGCAGTGCCATTCCATTACAAGCATCATTGAACAATTCGACATCACGTCTATTGTCAGACACCCAAATATCTAATCGAGTCCTGTTGGTTCCAACATCAAACGTCCACTGCACTCCCTGGGTGGCCCACGCTGAAGAGAAACAAGAAATACCAAATAAAACAACCACTGCGTTGGCGATAAGAACCCGTCTGGAAGTAAATATTTTCTTGACTTTCCAAGGAAACATAATACAAATGCATCTCTCAGCGGAGAGATAGACGGTGACAAACGTCATCAGGACGTAAAAGAATGCTTGAGTGCTACCTAGATACACATACTGAAGCGATAGCAAGTTCGCATTTGCTAATGGAGCAAATTTGTCTACAGCTTGAATTACCTCAGACAAGCAAGATACACAGCAGTTGATAAGAGTCCATACAGCCAGTGAAATAAAAGTGGCGTTCACACTCTCTCTGACCCCCAGTCGCCAGTAAACGATAATGTTGATGATATTTGCAGTTGCTCCCAGTGACGTCAATATCAAGTTGATGGCCGTTGAGATGTATGTTACAAAATAGAATAAAACAGCCTCTGATAAATCTGTTTGTGTTAGAACGTAGTCAGTGTTTGGATTACTCTCTGTGCTTAGAAAGACTGCCTTTACTTTGTTGGTTTTATTCCACAAATTCATTGTTCTTTACATTGATCTGTTAGCGGCGGAAGTTAAACCCTGTTGTAGATAAATATAGGATAATTCGTTAGAATAAATTTGTTAGAATATAGAACACGCATCATTTGCACACGTACGAGCTTGACATCTTCTTCTTTGGAGTTCACTCTTTCCTGGATGATTGTCACATAGCCAGCAAAACACACCTCCGCTACTTAGATAAGTCCATAACTTATACCATACTATGCTAAAGAATTTAGTTTAAATGTGGAATATTCTAGCAACGATGAATAGTATTTAGGACCTAAGTATGGGTCATGATATATTGCAGTGAAGATTATAAACTCTTAAATACATTTGGAGGAAGTTATATTGCGAATTCACTCACATGTAAGTAATTTTAATACAAGGCGAGGCCAATGTTTCATGCCTGAACTACCACATGTATTTACGGAAGAAATCTTTCCCTTCTCTGGCATTGGGACAACTGGGACTTTTTGGAACTATAGCCTTAATTTTAATCCTGACGCGACTCCCAAAATCAGTAGACGTGTGAAAGTCAGCTTTCCTTAATTTCAAATATTATAATGAGAAAGCCTGTTTCCAACCAAGGAATCTCAGTAGTGTATGGGTGAGTTGTGCTTTAATTAAAGTGAGTCTTGTTATTGTATGGCATCTCAAAGGCTTGTACAGGTATGAGATAGTCTGCATCATGCCGACATTATACTCTAATTACAGTTGCAAGTCTAGGGGTAAGGTGCATATTTAAAGGTGAGGGGAAAGCGGGCAAAGGCATTAAATTACTTTCTTATAGCGACAGACCATTGGGCTATTTGTTTCGTCAATGAAACTTGGTGCCAGTTTTTAAGTTGTTCTCGTTATGCCTAGGGGCACATGAGGCTTTGGAGAGGACTTTACATGCTTTCATGTCCTGTTCAATCTTCAGTGCAGTTTTCAATGTCAAAGATGCCACACTCAGGTCACTTTCCATCGTTGGTCTCCATGTTGTTTTTGGGCGCCCCTGTTTTCTCTTTCCCTCTGTTGTCCATTTGAGAGCTATTTTGGCAGGTATATCAGGATTCATTCTCATAACGTGGCCAAGCCATTTCCATCTTCTCTTGGTTATCATACTGTCTAAAGTTTATTGGTTTGTGACTTGAAGTAGTTTAGTGTTTGAGATTGTATCTGGCCAGAAAATTTTGATAATTCTACGTAGACATGTGTGGTGGAATGTGGACAGCTTGTGTGCATCTTTTTTGGTCATTCTCCAGTATTCCACTCCATAAAGAAGAACTGGCAAAATGATGCTCTTGTAGAGTCGGAGTTTCGTCCCTCTGCAGTAACTGTTGGGTTTCCAGATTTGCCTCATCCTTCCAAAAGCAGCTCTAGCTTTGTTCAGAAGTGACTGTATGTCCTCTTTGGTCCCTCCTGGTAGGGACACTACACTGCCAAGATTTGTGAAATGTTCTACATTTTCAAGAGTTTGGTTATTTATGGTCACTTGTTGTTGGTTTGGACTGCTTGTCGTGATCTTGGTTTTCTTTGTATTTATTCTCAGTCCCACAATTTCTGCTGTGCTGTGTAGTCTGTTAGTTTTTTCTTGTATATGTTCATGTTTATGTGATAGGAGTGCTATATCATCTGCAAAATCAAAGTCCTCAAGCATGGTGAATGGAGTCCATCGTATGCCTCTCAATGTCATGTCTACTGTGTTCTTTAGTATCCAATAAATCACAAGGTTGAAGATTAGAGATGACATGACACATCCCTGTCCTACACCTGTCTTTACTGGGAAAAATGTATTGTAATTTTTTATACTGCAGGAAAAGTCTTTATAGAAGAGAGCAATTATGTTGACAATATTTTTCTGGAATTCTATAATGTCGTAACATTTTCAAAAGACCGTCTCTATGGACGCTGTCAAAAGCTTTCTCAAAGTCCACAAAATTAATATATATACTTCTCTGTCATTCATTGCATTGTTCTAAAATGTTACGTATGGCGAAGATGTGCTCAGTTGTTCTTCTGCCACTTCTGAATCCTGCTTGTTCCAACCGCTTGTATTTATCTCCTACTTTTTCAAGCCGTATTATGACGATTTTACAAAATATTTTGCTTGATACTGAGAGTAGAGTAATTCCCCGCCAATTATTGCAAAATGTTAAGACTTCTTTTTTGGGGGATGTGGACTATTGTTCCTTTAGTCCAGTCATCAGGCAACACTTCTTTTTCCCAAATATCCCCGAACAATGGTTCTAGAATGCTAGCAGTTGTGTTGGGATCTACTTTGAGAAGTTCTGCTGGCAGTTCGTCTTTGCCTGGTGCTTTGTTGTTCTTTAAAGTGTGGATAGCTTTAAAGATTTCTTGTTTGTTTGGTGGTTCAGTAATAATGTCAATGTCCTGAGAGTATGGTTGAATATCTGGGGTATTTTCAGGATCAGGTCTGTTCAAGAGGTCGAATCAGAATCACCCACTCACCTCTTCATTTGGGCAGAGTCACCACCAAGCTTACCACTATGTAGTTACCTTATAGAAACCTGCTCCTGTCACTTTGACAACCCGTGGAGAAGCTGCATTAGGTTTTACACCATATAGATGAAAGGGATGTCAGAGTGAATTCGTATTACGCTTTGCCTCACAGGACGTTAATCACTAGCGGGGTTCAGTTTCACTCACTCACTCAGCCTGGCACAGTGGCTTGGTGGTTGCCGAATGCCCTTAACAATTGTATGATCCTCGGGTGCTACGGCTCGTTCCCGCGGTGGGCGGTTTAAAAAACACCTGTTCCCTTGGTTCTCGGAACAATGGTATGTGTGTTCATGTAGTAAACCCATTTTCTCCTAGATAAATTATGTCCCAGACGGAATGAGGTCGGCTAATAAATGTGTATGGAATATTTGAGTGTAACTAGGAAAGCACTTGAATTACAGAGAAATGCTGACCAAATGAACTTCATGCGAATCACGAAGAATTGCTGGCCAAATGAAACTCACGCGGATCACAGAGAAAATGCTGGCAAAATGGAATCCGTGTAAATCTGAGAACACGGAGAAGTCATAGTCACAAGGAGAGCATTAAAAGGTTAAATAATGCCTTGGAAAGGGCTGGTCAGGAGTCTCGTTTGGGCCAAGGAACGAAGTGCGTAAACAACGGTGGACTGTGTTTGGCTTCAACGCCCAACCTGGCCAGCTGCAAGGACAGAAGGAAAGATGTCTGCCAGCTGCGTTAGTCACCGTCAGAACAGCAGTTTTTTGGTTCATTGTGCTTGTGTTAGGACGATTGTAATTTCGGCTAAAAGGTAACGTTGATTAGTATGAGTGTTTTGAGTTACAATGTATGCTCTGGCCATTAGTCTATTCCATGTTCCGGCTGAGGAAAGGCGAGTGGAAGAATAAAATGCAGAAATAGTCTTATGTTGTTTCCAGTAGTCCATGTTCTGCTCGTCGTGTTGATGTCGGTGTGTGAAATAGGAATCTGCAGTGACTATAGCCAGATAGAATAAAAAATAGAGTCATTCCAGTTCAGGTTAAAAAAAAAAGATCAATTCGGGAGATGTGAACCAGCGTCATTGCACACGGTTATAAACCATAAGTGCTCTGCCACCAGTACGGACAGCTGATAAGAAACTGTCCGCCTGTGTCGCCGTCCGCACGAAAATCCGTAGCTACAGTGACGTTCCTCCATTTACCCCAGAGTGTTAACTCTGGTGCCCATTTCCTAGAGGCTCGGTGAACCCCGGGAACCGCCCGGGTTCGAACATCGGCCGTGGGCGGAAGCGTGTCACGGCTGGATTTGAAAGCGAGTCTCCTATCGACTACGCTAACGCAGTGAGTGTGTATGCACGCGCGAGTGTTTGTGTCAGTGGGGGGGGGGGAGCAAGGGGTTAAATAGGCCCTAAATATATAAACAAGGATGTGGAAAAATGTGACTGTTTGCTTAAATCGAATGTGTTTGTCTGAAAAGCTCAGATCAGAAATCGCAGCCCAGCTGTGAACCACAAAACATAGTATCAAATACTCATAAGGCCAAACTCAAAGGAGGAGGAGGTGGAAGAAGAAGAAGAAGAGGAAGAAGAAGAAGAAGAAGAAGAAGAAGAAGAAGAAGAAGAAGAAGAAGAAGAAGAAAAAGAAGAAGAAGAATTTGGAAAAGATGAAGAACAGTAAGAGTAAGAAGAAAAATGAACGCATTAGAAAGAAGAAGAAGAATAAGAATAAGAAAGAAGAAGAAGAAGAAGAAGAAGAAGAAGAAGAAGAAGAAGAAGAAGAAGAAGAAGAAGAAGAAGAAAAAGAAGAAGAAGAAGCAGTATCGCTGCTATTACATTATAATCGGGAAGGCTAATGCGGTCTGTAAAAGTGTGATGTGTCGGCCGAAAGGCGCAAATATCTCAGCAGTGTTGCAAACGGGCACAACGCATGTACACCAACTTCCACTTTTGCGTCATCTTTATGAAGACAAACAGTTTACGGTCCGTGGCTGGATGGGCAGCAATGACCACTATTATTCGTTGTGGATGCACAGTGCCCTCAATTTCTATAAATAAACAGAGGGGGAACCTTTGAGGCCGTTAAATATATTAGGAATTAATCAAGTAACATAAAGTATATTTATCGGCACTCATGGAAAGAAGTAGAAAGATAGAAGAACACACTAGACAACATGAAAATCGAAAGCTATAGTTACCGTTCCGGAAATC